AAATCCCTTTCTGAAAGAAGCAAAAGGCCGCACACATAATTTGCAATTTTTTTTGCTGTTGGTACAGTGGTCAATAAGCTGGTACCCGATTATATTCCTGGGACAATCAAAATTCATTTCCTAGAGTCCCTGGGACTCGCAATTACATAGGTGAGTCCATGCGATACCATTGCTGAGATGATAGATCAAAGTTACTGTCTTTCTGCAGTAAACGTTCATCGCGTCAGAGTATTGCTTCATATATTATGGATGCCCGTTCCCGGGGTTTTTCAGGTGAACAATTGACTTGCTTTTGCATGTGTTTGTGACGGGTGCCACCGGTGGGGCAGGATACGATCACCTTTTCGCGAACACCTGGTATCATTACTATTTGATAGGGGTTCATGAACACATGATCATGAAAGTGTAGGACTCGTACATTGGAATCTGCTTTGAGCAGAAAATTCTTATGAATATGGAAAGGGTTTTGTTGCTTTTATCTATTATTGATACGTAAAGGTTTAAAGTCGTATGGTTTGTTTGTTTGGGTTGTATACTCCCCAGGGAGCTGAGAATGAAAATCGAGTGCTAACTGATCCATTGACCGGGGTGATAATAGCGTAGCGCCATGAGCATCCACTTCGTGAGTGGAATCTGACGCATTTTAAATGCACTTATTTTTATTATTATTGTTTGTTGTTTAACGCCACATTCAGTGTGTAAATGGTGGTAAATGAGTCTGGACCACACAATCCAGTGATTGACATCATGAGCATCGATCCACGCAACTGAATATACGAGGACATGCATCAACCAAGTAAGCCAGGTTGACCACCCGATCACGTTAGTCGCCTTTTACGACAAGCCTAGTCGCTATTTACGGCAAGCATGGATTGCTGAAGACCTATTCTACCCCGGATGTTCACGGGTCAAAAAGTCGTATGCTGATAGATTGTTAGGTGATGTGGGCCATTTATTGATTATTTGATTGTTGTTGTTTGCAGATAGATTGTTAGGTGATGTGGGTGATTGATTGATTATTTGATTGTTGTTGTTGTTGCTTAACGCCAAACTGAGCAATATTCCAGTTGTATGACGGCGGCCTGTAAAAAATCGATTCTGGACCAGACAATCCAGTGATCGATGCTGAGATCACGCCGTCGAAGTACGCTGACACGCAATGAACCAAGTATTCGAGTCTGACCACCCGATCCATTTAGTCGACTGTACGACCACCATAGGTAACTGGGGGCCTATTCTAACCCGGAAACCCACGGGGCGTTGAGAGTGTTTGGATGAAAGGGGAAGAAACAACTTCAGGTGTATGGTGGTTATGGGTTAGCAATGCTACATGCAAACATGCTCGCGTGTTTTGGTGGAGATATATGGATGTATATGTATGTATACTGTTGACGACATTTATATGTTTGTTGCCGGAGTGAAAGTTTTTTCCAAAGTTTTTTTCCAAAGAGTTCACACACACGCAACATGTGTGCATGGTGATTATGTTTCACGTATGGGTGTATAGTGAGTGAGTGGGTGAGTGAGTTGGGTTTTACGCCGCTTTTAACAGTATTCCAGTTATATCACGGCGTGTCAGCTTAATGTGGGAGGAAAGCCCGAAGTGATGCAGGTCTCCGACGTTTACCACTTCGGTGAAACCCACGAGCACGGGTATGGTGCTGACAAACCTAGAAACATAATCAGGGCGAACCGTGATTCGAACCCACAATCATAGGTTTCTGGCGTGCCCAAGGGACGCAACTGTGCACGGCGAATCGCGGCGCCTTAGACGACTGGGCCACCCGTGCCCCCTAAGGGTGTACAGATAACAGGGTTTGTTTGGTGACTGAAATTCAGCATGGCTGTCATTACGACCATGTTTAAATCAGATTGGAATTCTCTTTGAGATAGAGACGGGATATTTTTCTCTGAATGCTTCAAAACATACAATTTCCTACTTTGAAAAGGATAACTAAACACTATATACACTTTTTGTATACAGGACATCCACTGAACAATTAACTATTGGAGTTCAAACTTTTGGAAAAATTATTTTTCTAGGTTTTCGGTGGGAAAATATTAGAATATTTTAAGGCCCTCGGATTCATCAGTACACCAAGGAAGGCAAACGTAAAAACGTTCGTTCCGGTTTGGGGACCCAAATACTGCAGTCTACCCCATAATTCTTCATACCGGAATATGCTTACTGAACTATGACTTACACGTATAATGCTTGTTTAACACTGCACTCCAATATTCAAACAATCTCATGGCAGCAAGAAAATAATTGAAGAGCTTAGAGCCAAAAGGGCCAATGTCACGTGGAGTCCCATACCCACATGCATGCTAATTAACTTTTTTTACCGATAAATTCCTAGACATTAATGCATTCTAACAGCAGAGATATGAATGTTGTTTAAAATAAAACATTCAAAAAAGGAAATTAACTTACGTTTTTAATTTGTGTAAGGGTGGAAAGAGCCAATGTCTGTATTCTGGCCCTTTTTGACCCATGTCAGATTGATAAACTACTACTGAAAGTACAAACACATACTATTGAAGTACTTTTAAATGATTTAAACTAATGCCAACCGTGTTGTAATAGTTGAAACATAATAATAAGGTGTCCAAACTTTCAAAATCTATCTCAGACAACCAGTCTCAGTCTCAACCACACACGGAGAGTGTACCGAAGGTGTCACGCGCTGGGAAGGAGCTTCATGACGTAATTGGTGCCAATTTAACTGGGTCCCTGTCTAGTCTTAACGCAAAAGATATCAAGTACCAGTTTACGGTAAAACAACATGGCTTACGAGTCCGACTCATTGTCTGATTGCAAAGAATTGTCATTAGACCAGCAAGAAATTGTGAAGCCATATGCTTTTGAACCTACACCGGCCAATTTCCGAACTTCAAGATAAAGTCAAGGTATGATGATGAAGAGGAAACAAGGGAAGACCTTTTGTTCGTGTCGTCAAGCCCCGACCCATCTACGCAACAACCGCCGAGACCACTGTGGTAAGAATAAACATAAAAATATCTCATTACAGCTCATTGTGTATTCGGACCCCATGGCACCGCGGCATTCATCGTATCGCGGCATTTGTGCTTTCCGATAGTTCAAGCGGGACACGCCTCTTAGCGGCTGTCTATTAACGCAAATCAGTAACCAGGAAGTGCTTGCTTCGTAACCAATTTCCTCGGAATGTTCCGTCTTCTGTAAGTAAGGAGTTATTAACGCGATAATACTTACTTCTGGCATCTTTTTAATATTGCCTTACCCCCATCTGTCAATGGCCAACGATATAACCCGCAGTTCCCCAGGTAAACTTTACCTATCGACCTGAACAAGATCATCTGCATATTCACGGCGACTAATAAGGTAACGCAAGTTAACGGAAGCACATTTTTTCCCCGCTGTGTGCCCGGAATCTATTAGATCATTTTAAGGGCCATCATGCCATACTTAGAAGTACGTTCTTCATTAGGAGCCAAAAGATAAATACATCTTTTGGGCATACTAGGAGTGCTTTTTTATATATTTATTGTTAACTTCCATATTTTTTTTGGACAAATTATTGTCATCCAATTTTTTTTTAAACAATCTTAAAATATCATTTCTGATATTTTGTTGTTTATTTTTCTCTTACTTTTCGGTAAATACATTATGCATTGAATACCCTGGTAGCATGCCATCATCGGCCCTGCATCGGCCCAACGCCGGCAAACTTCATCCGCCCTGCATCGGCACTGCACCTGCACAGCATCGGCCCAGCGTCGGCAAACATCGTCGGGCCGATGAAGTTTTGCTCATCGGATCGACATCGGCCCAATATCGGCAAACGTCATCGGCCCTGCATCGGCAATGCACCGGTCCAGCATTGGCCCAGCGTCGGCAAACATTGTCGGGCCGATGAAGTTTTGCTCATCGGATCGACATCGGCCCAACGTCGTAAATAGTTATCTGGCCAGCCTTCGGCCAGACATAGGTAACTGTTATTGAATCAGAATCAGATGGACATCTGTCCCAACGTCAACAACAATTATCAGCGCAGTATTGGGTTGACATTGGCCTGACAGTAATTACAGGTTTAGAATCAGCCTTGTCCAACCTCAAGTCCTATCACCATCCAAGCATTAGTCATTCAGACTTCATCACCCTTTCTCTTCTTTGCTCATTTACAATGGCAGTTGGGATGTTCAGTATTTTTACCCTTCATAATATTTGATGGCAGTTCTTGAATTTCTTCAAAATAAATACATAAAGTATGAAACAAATGGCTAACAATTTGCAATAATCATTTACAATTAGCAATATCTTCAAAAATAGTCAAAAAAACCCAAACTTAAATTGTTAACGCTTCATTAGTTTTTTCATCTGCCGTTGTCTTAAATAGGCTAATGTCATCTAAAGTAGTTGCCTGCAGAAGTCATAACTGACAACATCTTATCTTAATATTTCATGTAAATGATGCCACAATAGAACTTTTCCAAGTGTAGTGTTAGATTTCATAAAACTAAACATTTCTAAAAGCTGCAGCTAGCTCTGATGTTAAAGTTACAAAGATAAAAGGTAAAACTAAAAAATACTGAATTTTTAAAAAGATAATTTTTTATCATAGTTAATACTTTGAAAACCAACTGTAAGTAATATGAATACTTCTAGCTGTACAAAACAATCGAAATGCTTACACTAGTTACAGTACTATTTTTTATGTACCCTAATACATGTGTAGTTAATACTTATAAATAAACACAAAGAGCAAAATAGAATAATAAAATTTTTATTATTTACAAGAAAACAGTGTTACTACCTGCAACAAGGCGGATGTGAAACATATATTCTCAAAACCAGTTTGAAAACACAGTCTAAACATATACCCCTCATATTGGCCTGCAAAATTTCATTTGTTTGGCTTCAAATTCGTTTGCGAGACAAACTCCCCCCCCCCCCCCCCCCATTCCATCAAGTTAAAAAAGCATGAAGCAATGGCCATAACTCCATACTCCATTCTTATAACCATCTTTTGGAGTTTGTACCTTAGATAAGCACGGAAAGTTTCATTTATTAACTTCAGTAGTGTCCAAGAGAATCTGGCAGAATATGTACCAAGTTCAAAACCAAGGGTCATAACCCTGTGAAAAATATGTTGTCAACACCAACTTTTTGGATTTCTTTGTTCCGTTGCAATTCAGCACTTTTGTTTGCAGATTCTCTATCTGCACCTCTGTTTTTCAGTACACGTTTTCCTTATGCCATTTCTAAGCCTTGCTCCTGGAACTCGAAGCCATTCTTTTACACAGGTCACCATGTACTTGTCAGTGGCTTGTAAGAGCCCAGCTGCAGGCTTCCTCCTCAGCTTCTGTTTACAAATGATAGCAAAAAATGTCAGTGTGCATATTATAAGTCATTGCATGCACTCTCACAATTACAAGTAATGTACTTCACAAGTGTGTCAAAACAAGTTATTGATAACATGATGGAATAATAGAATAAGTAATACCCTGTTCACATGCACCACCTTACATATGTGTGTATATATTATTTTAAGTCTTGACACCTGTTAATAAATACAGGGTTCACTTAAGGAATTTTCTGACATGGGCCCTTTATGGGACAATTTCATATATTCCCTAGGTACATCCGCACTTGCCCATACAGCACAATGTTAAAATGCCCCATTGTATTTGAAAATGAGGGCCTTTTTTTCAAATTTAGGGGCTAAAAGCAGAAGGCCCCACCCTAGAATTATCGGAATCCCAGTAAGTAAATTGATAAGTTTATAATATGTGTAAATAAGTAAATTGAATTATGTGTAATTATATATGCAAATAACATAACCCCTCCCAATATTGCATGGTAGGTCCCTAATCTGTTTCTTATGTCAATTAAAAAAGATTTTATAACTGACATATCACCCTATTTATTTAGCCAAATAAACATCCCCAATAACCACATGATAACCCCCCTCCCCCAATCTTGCTAGAGAACAGTTTTAGGTGTGCAATCTCTCTTGTATGTCTATCAAAAGTAAGTCAGCATGAAATTTCATTTGGAAGATTACCACGGTAAGTGTCAGGGGCTCTTAATAGGGCAAACATGATATTAGATATATGCTTATAAATATTTCAATCAGAAACATGTATCAGTTGGTTTGGTTTGTTGTTTAACGCCACTCAGCAATATTCCAGCTATATGACGGCGATCTGTAAATAATCGAGTCTGGACCAGACAATCCGGTCATTAATATCATGAGCATCGATCCACGCAATTGGGATCGATGACATGCATCAATTAAATAAATCAGCGAGCCTCACCTCCCAATCCCATTAGTCACCTCATATGACAAGCATAGTCGCCTTTTACGGCAAGCATGGGTTGCTGAAGACCTATTCTACCCCGGATCTTCAATATGTATCAAACCTTGAGTAAATTTCCCATACTTAATACATGTAGAGAAATTTAATCCACTCACCAGTGCCCTCTCAGTTGCTCGATTTTGGAAAAGCTGCTAAGTGTTCATTCAGCTCATCCATGTTTGCCAACAGGCAATGGCTGAACGTCTGGTTTTCTTAAATAGAAATATAAGAATATTATGTATTAAGTTTGTGTAGCAGCAGTGAGCACTTAGCTATGAAGATGATGATGATGTCAAGAGGTTGAGGGGAATATTGCTCAAAACATAAAAGTAACATTTAAATAAAGCTTTGGCCATACACAGATATCAGGTCCTTTCCTTAATTCATACATCTTATCTCGTATATTTGCACTTGTACATACAGTCCTTATCTGGAGCCATGTAGCAGAAATAATTTCCCAGGGAAAGTAGTTTCACTTTAATAGCCATAGCCCCATTCATTGAAAAGCAGTGAGAAAATCCCCAAATTGACATATTATTGAACAGTTCCTGTGAAGTCTGGTTACCACAAAACAGATTTCATTTATTATGTGATACCATATATATGTAGATTATATCATGGTAAACCAAAACTGCAAATAAACGTTTATCATTAAATGATTAGATACAAAGGTATGTACATATTACAAACACTTGTATGCAAAAAATAGCAGGAAAGTATTGGGGACAAGTAATTTTATGCACATTTTCATTGCTTGTAAACATAGGAAAAGGGATAATGATAAACTGAAATAATATATCTTTAGTTAGAATAAATCAAATTTGAAACAAGGCTCTGGATGTGTTTTTACAATGGATAATGTCCTGAAACATCTGTACTGCAGTATCTATTCTTCCTCATCAAAGTTTTACCATTAATTTGAATTTTGATTAAATAAATGACATTTTAAACTGTCTTGTAATAGATCTATATATTTAGCATCAATTACCTTTGAAATAGTACATTTTTTCAAATATCTTAGTTAGTTTTTCATCACAAGTGTACATCAAAAAATTTCTTAACCTGTTAAGACTACTTGAAATTAAGAATATAAGTACTAAATTTTACCTTTACTCTCTTGTAGTTAATATCTGCTAAATATAAACTAGTAATCGATTCTGAAATAGCCATATCTCAAAATGACAAAATGAAACTGTGAGATTACACCTTAATCGATCGATACAGATACCATACATCGGTATAAGATTTCTGATCGATATATAGGCCTAGGTCTATGTAAGGTATCCAGGTAGATCTTGATAAAATTGCCCACACCTGTAATACACAGTGATCGTTTACAAAAAGAGCTGTCCTTTCATTTCGCCCTTTATCCAGAAAATGTTCAAAATTCGCAAGTAACTATGACAAAAAACATCAATTTTAAAACAATTTTTTATTTCAACTGTTTGGTGATCGAAAACCGAACTCGGCAGTGTAGCTCCATTCATCTATCAGTAGGAATATTAGCTAGACCGCAAGTTTCCGAAAGCCTCGTTATGAATTTTATGTGCACTGCTTTTTGTGCTGACAGCAATCACAAAATTGACTTGTAAATTCGAGTTTGTAATTAATTTCCTAACCTCATCCATCCCCACACTTAACAAATACGACTGCGACAATGACAAATGAAGCAATGTTCATTCAAAATTACTAATGTAAGTAATTGTTTGGCTATTCATTTGCTTGCCGCTGTAATACTCTCACCCCGAGATTGCGACTCGTGGGTTGAACATCGCAGAATCTGCATGGTAATAAAACATATCTTGTCATGTTTTGCATTTGCCCTTGTCCACGCGTTTTGCTAGAAATATGTATATGGTGTTTAAAAAATATAAATAGTTAGGATGCAGTGTCACGACATAGATCCACGGACTTTGTCACTGACGTAAAATAGGCAGGATACATTGATAGGATTGTGTTTCTCTAACTTCCAAAACACATAGGCCTAGATTTCTCTACTCACGTTGACACTTTTGTATGAACACTGTTTCTCGTTTCAATTGTAAGGTTTGAAAATGAAATGAACACCTCGTAAATACAGTAATGAAGTAAACACTTACCGCAAAATAGGTTTTCCCTCAGCCCTCCATGCATCATCCTTTCGTCGTCTGCTTGCAAAGACGCGCGTGAGTAACAGCGCCCTCTATTACAAGAGTAGCTTCCCTGGAAGCATGTTGTGAAAACGTGGACCAACGAAACATAACCGATCGCGATATTCCAAACTTTTGCCAACATCTTGTAATTTGCTGAATGAATTGTAAGATGTGACGAATCCCGTCTGTATCCTCTGTGTATGTTGTATATGTGCAGCCAAAATGGTCAGTGAATGTGCTTGATCTATTTAATTTTAAAATGAAAAATAAAGTTAATATTTTGAATTCGAGTAGAATTATTGTATTATTCGTAAATATATATTTGATCTAATGTTTGTCACATTGTTATCGACAAATGTGTTATTTCTTTTATGTTATCATAACAAGATCAAATCATATATCAGGTTCCATAATGTCAGTGCCAATCACCAGCATTGGCCTGACAGCGGACCGCTGCAGTTTGCCGATGCCGATATTGCCGGCGGTTGCCGATGTAAAGCCAACGTCGGCCTGATGTAGGTGTGCTAGCTGGGTACCTATTAGGACTCATTCCGAATTTTACTTGTGCTGTCTTTGCACTTATCTGGACAAATCACTGAAGTCTGGCATCCTCATACACAATGTGGTTGGTAGAATTATGTCCTGTTTTTGTCCAATTTGGACCTCCATACCCAACTTTTCCCTGTACTGCGATATGATGAAGTTCTCTCCCTTGTCAAACTGAGCGCGAGGCCCTGTGTCAGAGTGTGGAATTTTCCCCCTAGCCTAATTACCCCCCGGAAAAAGGGCTATATAGCCAAATTCCCCCCCCCCCCCCCCCCCCGAAAACTGGCTATATAGCCATACTTCCCACAGAAAGCACACTATATGGCCATATTTCCCACCCTGAAAATACACTATATAGCCAATTTTCCGCTTTGGAGTCAGATTTCCCCCCTAATTAAATATATGTCTATTATCAAAAGTACCTAGATGTACAGTTGGCTGATGGAGTATTTTACAAGAGAAACCATGATTAAAATTTTGTGTTTTTTTGTGCCATACATTCTTAATTTTAATAAATAGAGGATAGTTCATTTCGAAAGTGAGATATGGCGGATCTGTCACTCGACAGATCAGATCAGCCTTTTGTCACTGACGAAATGAAGTGTTTTATTTATTATATATTTATTTAGTAGGGTATGTGTTGTTTTTGTTCTTTTATTTTGTTGTTGTGTATTTGAGGTAAATCAGCAAATCTAAAATCTTCCAACTGTCTTCAGTAACAATACGTCACTTTGCTAGTTGAAACACACTTTGCTGGTTGATTTCTATCAGGTCTGCACTGTAAACGTGAACGGCAGTCGTTCTCCTTATCATGGTTGCAGTGACATATCACTTTTCTGTCATCGAGAATCCTCAGTCGCTCACTGCCAAGTATATTATAAAGTATATTTACAACGTATATAGGGCATATATCTGTGCGTGCTCATGGAGTTTCTTGCCCCGATCAGAGGTCCGTATATTTTGCATTCCAGAACTTCCCAGCTACATGTGAAATATGTAACCAAAGCTGCCTGTCAGGCGCTAGACAATTGAGACACGTTGAACCCCAATTTCTCTGTCAAATATGGCATGCAAGAAGTTCGCTTTTGCCATTGCTGTTTGATCAATGTTTGTTAAATGGTGGAGTAGGTTATGTTTTTTAATACTGCATTGAAAAATCTGAGGGATATAGGGGAATTTCTGCTATATAGCCATACTTCCCCCTTGTGTTAAGGGGGGAAATCTGACTCTAAAGCGGAAATATGGCTATATATAGTCATTTTTCCCCGAGGGAAATTTAGCTATATAGCCCTTTTTCCGGTGGGAAATTAGGCTGTATAGCCCCTTTTCCAGGGGGAATTTAGGCTAGGGGGAAATCCCACTCTCTGACACCAGCTTTTTACTTGGCGCTGCTAATGTAAATAATGAACTTTTATCAGTAAAAATGCATAGTTAGATAAAATAAATGACATCTGTTAACACGAACATGAAAAATGATAAATGTTAGTGAGTGCATTTTGTTCTGTTTAGCGTACATAACGAGTACCGCGATACACCGAGGTTGTAGGCTACTACAAGCAAAACATATTCTTAGAGATATTTGGCCTGCCTGGTAACCCACACTCTTCTTTAGCTATTTATCATGTTCCATCCTGTTTCGATTCTATGGCAATGTCGTACAATCTAAGCTCTTCAATGAGACCCGTGAAGATCCGGTGTAGTGAGTGAGTGAGTTAAAATTTAACGTCGCAACGGCATTCTTTCAGCCATATAGCGAGGAGACCAAGTTTAATTTCATTTAGTGCTTCTCACTAAATGGGTTTATTGAAACCATAATGCACCTCTTTGTTTATCTCCTTACGTCATTTCCTCTTACAATCTCCCGCCACTTACGTCATAATTCTACTTCCTATGATGTCATCAAACTTTCTCTTGCGTCATCACCATCTTCATCACCATCATCCGTTAGTTCTGTCAAAATTTTCTGTACCCAGTTTGTACAGCAATTCTCAACTTTTGGTTCCCACCCACCCTACCCCTAGCCTGCCACATTCATATTCTCTCTAATCAATCTTGTGTACATATATGGATCAGGGCAAACTATGTATATTGCTTATTTATTCAATAAATGTTATAAGTGGGCGTGGTTCTTGTGGGCTACAAATGTAAATACTTGCTTAACCACCAAGTAATCATCAAAATTATCAGGTCCCTGCTCTTAAGCGGGATTCTGTTCAGTCCCCCTGCTTCTCAGCGGATGGGAACCTTTAGGTTTAACTTAATTCATGTCTGCTTTTCAGCAGAAACTTAGTATTTTGCTGCTGGCAACATAGTTGCCCTTGGCTTCTGCTGCTGCTGCTTGTTGCTTGCTGGTAACTCAAGTTGCCAAATATAAGTCATTATAATAATACCTTAGGGCAGCCCACAAGTCCTGCCACACCTATGACCTTGAACCCAACATATGCCTTTCTTATTTCTCTTGCCTTGTCAACTTTGACAAGGCAGGTTACTTTGCATGGGGTGTTTCAATAATGTGTTAACAATTGAGTCATCTATGCAAAGTAATATTTAAAATCAATTCATGCATGCTATATTTAAAACCAATTTATGAAACATATTTGAGCATAATATAATACAGTTTTAAAACACGGGCTACAGGCCACCAGCAACCAAAGCTAGGCCACCTCGCTGGGGATCATGGGGACTTACAGTACCTCGGCTTCCTGCATGATACCCCAGCAGGATTTACGTCATCACTTTAGCCACTGGTGGTTGTGCATAATACTAGCCAATATAAGAATTTATGATATAATGGGTAGGTTTCTCGGCAGGATAAAGCCAACGGATAAAAACGATATCCGTTGGGGTCATATGCGGATAGAGATGCAAATACCAAAGGTCAAGTAGGACTACTTTCACTGTTTATAAACAAACATGGCGTCGCCCTCGTCATTCGGCGATCGAGTCAGAATTAACCATCGTGAATCTGGATAAACTACAGGGATAATTATCAAACGAACAGTCTAATATACTGAAAACCAGTGTCTAACCGTGACGTAGCTAAGGCATTTTATAAGTTTTGGCAACTTTCGAGATATAAATTTCGAAACAATTTTGCGAGGGCACGAGGCCTAGCCAAGCGGGATCAGTAGCCATATCTGTGCTTGTAGACCTCTGTGGCTTGAAACCTTCTCCACAAATCAAAATGGTTGGATTCGGCCGAAATATGTTTGAACTGTTACCTTGTTTCGATTTGTCGCTGTGTGTACATCTGACTACACTTCTTAACGTTATGAAAGGACAGACCGACTGTCAACAACGTCTGACCGTGGCTGTGACTCATAGACTAGGGTTAGAGTAGCTTCCCTTTGACAAAGGGCAGTTACTCTAGCGGACAGACCGATGGATTGCCACGAAAGGCAATTAAAAACAACTGTTGTTTTGCGTTTAAGTTGCTTCGCCACTGTATATGAAACAGATTTCAGTTGGAACTATATTGGCTACTGTCAGAGTCCTACTGACACATCACTTACCCTGTGACGTAATAAATATTAATGCGCGCATTCCAGGAAAACTCGCAATGTTTCGGTAATGTTTGTGAGAGAGGGAAGGCGATTTTAAAGCACAGAATTAAAGAATGACATTATATGATAAAGAGGTTATCACGCTTGTGTGTTTGGGGATGGTAAATATCCTGTATTAGGAATAAACACTATGTATTTAGCTCGCCAAGGCTCGCTAAATACAATGTTTATTCCTAATGCAGGATATTTACCATCCCCAAACACTGGGGTAGTTCATAACAATGCAGGATATTTACCATCCCCAAACACACTCGCGTGATAACCTCTATAGGTGTCCAGCAACCCATGCTTGCCGTAAATGGCAACTATGCTTGTCGTAAGAGGCGACTAACGGGATCGGGTGGTCAGGCTCGCGGACTTGGTTGATGCATGTCATCGATCCCAATTGCATGGATCGATGCTCATGATGTCAATCACTTGAATTTCTGTTCCAGACTTGATTATTTACAGACCGCCGTCACATAGCTGGAACATTGCTGAGTATGGCGTTAAACAAAAAACAAACAAATGTTTCGCTTTCCGGCTTACCTTTAGAACACAGTACCACAAACCTTTCAAACACATGCCAATACCCTATGACATAATTTGTAGTATTTTGTTGCCAGTCACACTGGTGAAACAATGCCCTGTGTCGTAAGGGGTCATCGAGTGTGCATAAGTTTCTCCCAGTGATCCATCATCTCTACACGCAATGTCATTGAATACGTTTTGCGATGTTGAGTGTTTTGAATATTTGTTTACTAAATATAGTTTGCGTAGGCGCATTTTATAGCAAGCGCTAGTTTATAAAAGCACTTTTATTTTCAATATATTTTATATTTTGTGCTTTTCGTAATTCAAGTGGCTAAAATGATGATAAATGGAAACTATTACACATGTATTATTTTCTCGATTCATTAATTTTCATTATTATGCACAGGAATGCA